TTGACTGTAAACAACATAACAAACAATGCAATAAATAGTTTTGAAGAAAAATCTGCTTTGTCATTGAACCTGAAAAAACCTTTGAAAATAACCATAATGACGCAGTCTCCATGCTACAATGATAATGATAGAAGCAAAGTTTTTCATTGTGGGGACATATCTTCATAAGTACAATTTGATTGTATTATTTGTGTCCCCTTCAAAAATTGCTCATGAGAAATTTTATATTTATTGTCCCCCCCCCTACTGTTAAATGAAATTTACGCCCATGTATGTATTAGTAAAAAGTCAGTTTCCATCGAGCATTAAACACCAGTGTGATTGTCGGCTTTCGTTCGCCCAGTTATTCTCCCCGCAGATGCAAACCCCCACATTCCAAAGCCGCCATAGGCGGCGGCCAGCGCCCATTAAACGGGCTGTGTTACACGCTCGTCGCAGCAGATTCATTTTGGGCTGATAATTTTGACCAGATGGCTTGAACAATTAGCGGCATCCATGTACCTTATGAAATTAACTTTTCTGCCTTGAATTAACTGCGTGCGGGACCAAGACGCAAAAAAATGGCAGGGAATCTCCAGAGCTCCGACAATAAGCGGTCTTTTGGTATAAGAATTACATTAAACTACTCACGTAACCTCAAATATCAACCATGAGATATTAATAATCCCGACATAATTTCCTGCATTTAATTAAAGGAAGATTAACCTTTGCTGCTAATTAGCTTTTAAAGCTTAATTATATATTAGATATAGAGAATAAATCTTAAGAGGAAACAGCGTATCTTTGGAAGTACGGAGGCTCGCGGGTGACGGATTCGTGCTCCCTGGCTTCTGCCGGGCAGGTGACAGTAAAAGCGGATTTATTTATCAACGCCTCCTGATCTCTCGCCGCAGGCACTCACAGCGGAGAGCGGGGCAGCCGCAGCGGGCGGGGCTGACACTCGGCATCGGCCATCGCATACCCCCCCCTGCCGGAGGCCTCGCGGCCGCCCATCTGCCGCCGGCTCTCGCGGGAGGAGGAGCCTTGAAGGCCAGTGCCATTGGCCGGATAGCTGAATGGAGGCTGCCCATTGGCCGGATAGCTGAATGAAGGCTGCCCATTGACCCTCCATATACAGACAAAGAGCCAGAGGGGAATCGCCCAGGAAACAAGGTTGTATGGCCTGAGGAACCAAGTACAAATCATTTGGTTTTCTACATACTCTGGGCTGCTGGATAGTCCTCTTGGGATCTAGTAGGTTTTGGGGCCAAGCACCTTGCAGGAAGTCTCTGCATAGGGAAGCGATTTAATGTCCACAGCTGGGCCATTCTCAGAAGGGGGGGGGGGGGACCTTAAGACAAAAACAAGGCTGGCTTTTTAACAAAGTGTGTTTCATGAAGGAACCCGGTGTATGTGTGCGCCTGATTGGCCCTGACCGATATGGGCGTGTCACACGAGGTGACGTGATGCAGGGGGCGGAGCCCAGTGACAGCAGTGGCAGTGACTCAGAGCTGCGCGGCCAGAAGCGGGTGACTCATGGTCACAGACAGGAGGCCTGGGCAGGGGGTGGTGCCATCTGGACCCCTCCCTCAGTGCATGTCCCCAGTGCTGGCATCTTCATGGCTGCGTGTGCGTGGAGCAGAGGGGGTAGGACCAGTCCATGAAAATTAAACCAGGACTGATTGTCATCTCCGGAGCACATTGTTCCTAACCCGTCACCCACAGAGATAAGGGAAATTAACTTGGTAACCCACGGACTCATGGGGGCAGAGTCAGACCCTGTCACATGTTCCCTCACGCAGTAAAGCCAACAGGCCAGCAGGTGGTGCAGTTGTTCAGGCTGCAGACTGTAACCAGAAGGATGCAGGTTCAAGTCCAGGGCATACTGGGTTTAGATGAGCAAACACACTATAAAAGACTCGGAAGTTGTGCCAAACCGCGGGGGAAGTTAAAACTACTGTGATTGTACAAATGTATCAGACACGTATCTCTCGCGAGTCACGTGATGAGGCGCCACCACATTATGCAGCTACGAGATTCTCAGGAAAAGCGGGAGGAAGAGTTACTCACATCTGTGTCAGGACCTTTGTCTGCTCCAGGGCAGGAGAATGTAACGAACTCGTGGCATCGCTTGTGGACCACAAAACAGCACACTGCAGGGGAGGAGACAGAGAAAGAGCAAATTACCGTCATGTTGCTCAGAAAACACAAACAAGTGCCTTCACATAGTTGCCAATTTTAACCATTTCTGCTGAACCCATTGACGAGACTCGGAGGTTCGGCTCCTCAACCACTACGCCCCCTGGTGCTCTGATGGTGCGGTTAGCGGACCTCCTCTTGATGAAAGCATCGTCATGAACAGAACTCTGGGCAGCAGGTGAAGATCAGTATTTAGAAGTGAGGGGCGGCAGGAGCCCGTCCTGCGTGGGACCCGTCTCTCCCGGCTGTGACGGAAAGGGACGGCGGGGTGAATCCCCCAGTGAGGGGAAGGTCCGGCCCAGCCTGCTCCACGGCGCCGCCAAGCCGTAACTCGCCACACTAGCGAGAGCCTCAGCTGTAAATAATGACTCAGAACCTCAAGCCCCAGGCGACCCGGACAATTCATCTCCTCCCAGACAGATTCCCGCAAGCTGCGGCCAGGAGGTACCGCTTCCATTAGAGATATGTTTGCTTTAGAAACACGAGGCCAGAGCGCGGACGGCGCGGCGTGGGCAGCCAGTGCGGCTCACCTGGGAAACAGTGAACGGAGACCACTGGAATCGCAGTGGCAGTGGCAGGAAAGCACCGAGACAGACTTTTGGTCGTGTAGTCCGTAATATTAATAATGTTCAGCATTTCTCTGTGGGATATGGGTCTCAGACGGTTAATGTTTTTGCAGAGTCCACACTGACCCATGCTTCTAATAACGAGTGAGAGGCGTAGATAAACAAGAACCGGGAAACGAGATTGAAACCCAGAGGGATGGATGTGAGGGGACCTGAGTTGAAGCGCATGAGAGGCGGGAAAGCGTAGCTGGCAGTGAGGTGTCACTCAGCCTGTGCGGCCCTCCCAGCACTGCATACACTGCATTTTCAAACTTCAGTGTCGAGGAAGCAGTGAAGGGAAAAGGTCGGTGCTCTTTGGAGAAGCTGTGACAGGTCCTCGCGCAGCAGCATCGCCCGAACACGGCTGCCCGTACTCCGCCTGCGGCTGGACCCCCCTCCTACAGTCTCCATGCTGCATCTGACAGGAAATAATCTCTCGGTGTTCCACCCGCAGAACGAGCACTGATTAGACTGCTGGGTACCAGAGATTCACAGCTATCTGATGGTGTCTGCAGAGACACACACACTCACACACCAACACAGCTCCATGTCACAGTGACCCCACACCTTTCGTGTACAGCAGCGGATGTATGTAGCTTAGAAGAGACATCATTAACTGCTCCGTAAAGATGGGACTACTTACCTCATCTGTAAGTTTTAAATGGTAGGTTGATTATGTAAAGAGATAGAAAGTTCAGTTCCAGAAAGTACAAATCCAGACCAAGATTTTGCTTCAACCAACCAGCTGAGGACTCTGTGAATGTGACACTTTATACTCAAGTGGTTGGTTGAAACAAAATCTTGGCCTGGATTTGTTCTTTCTGAACCTGAACTTTCCATCCCTTCCATGTATATATTTGTATACATATGTATGCTATTTATGTCATTACAGCAGCAGCTATTAAATTTCATTGTACTTGTGCGATCTCACTTGCACAGCGACAGATAAATGTCCCAGTACTACTTTAGGGCATCAGTAAGCCCTACTACAGAGAGTTTAGGTTTACTTCGCTCCCCCCCCCCCCCCCCGATGCCACAGCCCAGAGTCACTCTGACCAAAGTCTGTTTACACTCCGCTACCAGCAGCAGGTTTTCCGCTCATCGGAGACGGGAGGCCCCTGCACTTCTGGCACAGCAGCCTCTCCAAGTACATGAAACCTCTCCGGCAGCAGAGTGAAAGTGAGACTGAGGAGATCGCTTAAAGGATTAAAGCACTAAAAGCATATGTCTAATTCAGCACACAGAGACAGTGAATATCCAGGCTGGTAGGTGGCACTAAATCACGGCACGGAGGCCTCAGCTCTGTGGTTTGTCTGTGTAAGTTTTGTTTCCCGGTGTTTTTACATCAGTTCAGTCATCCTGCTATTTTTGTGCTTGCGACACCCTCACTGCTGTGCAAGCTTTTCCATTAGTCTCCAGGCCAGAAAATGCACGAGTATCAGTTTATGAGCAACAGAATCAGCAGTTAAACCAGAGCTAACAGAGTTTAGTTTGACTACCTCCTCAGCCCACTGGCTCTTAGGTCAGAAGCAGCCAACCACGGCCAATCACTACCTCCGGCTCACCCACCAGATGCGAGGCCACAACCAGGAAAAGCCAACAGACCAATCAGAGTGAGGCTAAAAGGCCACTCTGCTAAGCTCAAGAAACTGGGGTCTTATGTTTGCTGACTTAAAAAAAAAATAATAAAAAAATAAAGTCTTTTTGGCCTTGAGCTGCCTGGCTGTGAGGATTTTCAATCGCGCACACGGCTGAGGATGCTTTCCACTGTCAATTTATTTCATTTACAGTCTTGAACAGTAAATAACCTGCTCAATTATCTGTTGTTACTCCACAGGAGCTTTAATGCAGAGTCCCACATCGCGAGAGAGAGAGAGAGAGAGCGTGAGAGAGAGAAAGAGAGAGATCGTAACTCAGCTGTGGTATCCTCCGGGATGTGTGTGCACTGTTTTACACGGAGGACGTAAACTAATAAATGGCATGACTAAATTAATTTGGAAACGCTGCAGGGATGATCTGGGAAAGGCCTCAAGTCCTACTACAGTGAATAAAAGCAGTCTGTGATTATGCAAAGCTCTCCAGACGGCATCTTACACAGCCCGCTTAAGTAAAGCATGAGTCTTAGGTAAACTTACTTAAGAGAATCACAATTCAATTCTTAGTCGTTATACTGCTGGAAGATCTCACAGCGGCCAGGCCTTGATAGATACTCTCTTAATCTTTCATTAAGATGACACCCCGAGGAAGGTCTCCATCCTCTGCCTGTACAAACAGCGGCGTGTCGTACGAACCAAGTAGAAACAGCCCAACAATACCATTGACATAACGGCCGCACCGAAAGTCCTCGGTGTGATTAATATCGTTTCACACTTAGTCATGCACAATCACCACCCACGTTTGTCTTTTTAGAAAAAAAAAAAGTCATAATATGGATAAAAAAGAGCAGGGGGTCGTTCTTAGAGCTGTCCGTTAAAGGTAACAGCGTCTCCCTGCCAGCCATTGACTCAGATCAGCATCCTGTCCAAACAGGGGATCATTATGGGAGTTGGAATACGTCTATCTGGGTAATTTAACAAGAAACCAAAGACACCAAAGACAGGAATTTGGATGCTGAAGGGGCCTTGAATTCTGATACCCCTATGATCACCTTCATGTCCCCCCCCCCCCATCTACCCGCCCGCTCAATATCATCAGCCAGCGGACAGAGACCAGACCGAATCAGCAAGGACAAAGGGTTTTCTGATACATCGACAGCGAGAGAACAGGTCAACCGGGAAAAGTAACGATTCGACCCGGGTCAGCATACCACCATATCGACAAAATGATTCCTTCACAAGACAAACGACTACTGACGGAGGGATATAAAATTTTGAGACCTTCAATTTTACACGGTGAGGCGTTATGCTTGCATTCGCACTGAAATGGTTTATAGTCCACAAAAGCGCAACAAAATCGTGTCAGAAAACGGGCCCAGCGCACATAACACGTTGGATCAGTTCCTGGAATGTGCAATTTATTTCTTGCCCAAATAAGAGGAATGGACTTTTAGGCGATTAACTGAATTAAGCTTCCGTACCAAAACAAACACACTACGCCACGGACAGTCTGTCATTTCTTATCTTGCCCGCTTTATCGATTGTTCATTAATTGCTACTGGGAATTCTGCGAGGCAGGGTGTGCGTACGTACAGGCGTGCGAACCCCAAACCCGCATTATTCGCACGCATTCGCCGAATGCCAGATGGCATTACTCAGTGCGATTTAGGGGGATTTACAGCAGATACAGCAGCACGGCACCGAGTACGGGGCGCCTCCCGAATGGCCCTCGAACCCGTGTCCTGGAGCGGCTTTACCGGCGGGGCGCTGAAGCTGCGTCACCCGAACGGCGAGTTCACGCTAAACGGGAGGCGGCAGGTGGGCGCTTCAGGGCGTCAAAGCCATACAGAAAGAGCAGATGAGTCACGCCGGGGAAGAGGGGAAGGAGCGCTTGGAAACAACAAAGCTTCTCCTTGGACTTCCCACGATGCACGGCTCCCACAGACTCTCTGAACAGGCCTCTCTCCACACTGTCATTATTATTATTTTACTAATGTGGATAAGCTTTCCTTTAATCTTTATTTAATCCCATGTGATTTACGCAGTTTACCACTCCATGTGACAACTCATTAATTACAGTGGGTTTTTTTTTTTTTGCCCGGATTATTAAAGGTCTTCGCTCAGGTGCAGACAAACAGTCGTCCATTCCCATGGTACCTGCTGCCCGCCATTTTCTCGTCCCCGCGTTTCTCGATTCTGCTGCATATCCGCAAAGCCCCGCCACGAAGGAAACGCCACCGCAGTCTCCGTCGTTGGCAAGCAGGCTACCCGGGCACATGTCAAACAGTTTATTGACAAATCGTCTTTCATTCTCAAGGGAAAGACCCACTCGCTATCAGCGCGCTAATGCTGCTGTACGGCAAGCAATTAATTCGATCCGTCAAACCAAATTAATACGCAACATCTTCATATATGTTGCCAGAAAACAGCCTATGCCAGATTCACTCCAAAAAAAATAGTCAGTACGGACTAAACTGAAAAATTTACCATGACCCCATCAAAGATGTCAATCTATTCTTCTGGAAAATTATACAAAATGACTGTGTCATGTAATTGTTACAATAGATGGGAACATTTCAGAGATTATTGGTAAGGGGCGGCAGTGATAATGGTTGGATGATTCATGTGGGCAGATCATGCCACAGTTAGGCGTAGGGAACTTGAATCGACATTGAGCACGATGGTGATGGAGAGAACATTACCACTGCACCACTGCTAAAGAAGGCTCTCCTCGCTACCTCATGAGATATAACA